ATATTAGAGACAGAGAGAGAGAGGAGGGATAAGATCAAATAAGGGAGAGAAGTTATTCCTCAATTATTTTATGTATATATATTCCTGGTGATAGAAAGGAACTCACACTGAGTTACACGGGCAATAATTCCTAAATTAGAGCTTTTTTTCCATTAAAATATAAGCTTGCAGTGCATATAGTTTTATAGTATGTTTAACATAGGTCTAGTCTTGGAGATATGTCATTTTTACAAAGCTGAATAATATTTATATTATATTATTTTTATACTCTCGTAGCATTTTAAAAATAATTGTGAGAGGAAAATAAATGCATTGTGAGCATGAAAACAATTGAAGATCTAAGAAAAGCTGTGTCTAAAAATAAATTTGAAGATAATTTATGAAAATTTCTGTAGAAAAAACTTGAGTAGATACTTACAATGTTGAGCTTTGGCTATGACTGCCTTCTTCTCTCCCCTTTATTGAGAATCACTCATTAAAGGAGAGAGGACAGAGTGGCTGCTAACTGCTAATGCATAGAACTGCTTAGCATCTACTGCTGTCTTTGGCAGTGAGGGGAGGGAAGCAACGTGTTCATCTTTCAGGATGCTTTCCAAAGAGGTACAGAAAACCACATCTATATATTTCCACCTACTAATAGAACTTTACAAAAAAAACAAAAAAATGAAAAAAAAAACCACCTTCCGAAGGCAAAAAAAGGTGGATGATATTTATGATAGGGACTAGCACATGACATTTAAAACTCAGGAAATAAAAGCCTGGGACATGATAGAAAAAGAAACAGTATTGGTCCTGGTGCTTTGCCATCAAGTGGCAATGGAGATTTAGTTAGCGGCAACGTATGGGAGAAGCAGCTAAATGGCATCCCTTGAACTTATTTCTTTCCTGACCTTTTGAAGTTGCCAGGTTCAACTAATTTTCTCCTCATGGTTACATCTGAAGTAGGTTCCAGAGGCAGGAACCAACAGTTCAGCAGAAATATATTGCTCATCACAATTTTCCACGGGAATGAAATGAGAACTAAATAATCCGTTGGTTAATTAAGCCCCACTAAATCAGATGATGGCTGTTCTAGCAATATTATTCTACTTCACAAATATACACTTATGAGATTCTGGGAAATAGTCTAGCACCACAAACAGATAAAACTATATACAAATCCAAGAAGCCAGGAGTGCAAATCAAATAATCTAAGATGCAAAGGAAAAGAGAACATGATAAAAATCTCAGACATGATCCAATAAGTGAGTTAGTTATTTTAAGTTACCTGGGGAAGTTTTCAGGTTTTTTAGAAAGGTGTGTGTGTGCATTTGTGTGCACACACAACATATGTAACAGAGAGCAAAGAGACTTTGCCTTGTTTTAATTCTACCCAAATGACAATTATGTACTACACAAAGTTAGGAACCTTTTCCTAAACAGGCAGTTTGCCATTTCAGATGTGAATACCAACCATGCTGAAAACAGAGAAAACTGCATTTGTTTACTGCTTCTCTGAATAACTTCCTAATAAAGTGACTGAACTCAGTAGCACCACTGCATATTTTAAAATAAAGTCTTAGGATCATAAAGTCATCTATAATTGAAAAATTACTTGGATTATGATTGTACCTTAATTTTTCAAACACAACATTTTGCTGATGGATCAGAAAAGTATGGTTGTAAAAAAAATTGAATTTCATTTTACTCATGAGAAACTTCTGACTTTGCATGGAAAATTTTCTCAGATGGGTATACTGATAAAGCTGAAAGGTGTGCCACCTTGAGTAGAAAAACAAAGAACATTATTTTTCTTTAAAACATTATTTAAAATGGTAAGGATTTCTGAATAGTTGAAGTGTGGAGTCTAACTTTTCAATATGTGCTAGTTTTTTGTTTTTTTTTCACCAATAAACAATGAAAGAAACCTGGACAGCGAAGCCCTCAGGTGCAAATTTTTAAGGAGAGTCATTATACCCTCATTCTTGCCAAATCCCTTGGTCTGCTTCAACAGTCCTGCTCTCCAACTATCAGACCTAAAATCTGTGCATAGTTTGAAATGATTCATGATGAGTATATTCATATAATAGCATCACTTGCCAACCCAAGTAATCTATTCTATTCTGCTAAGCATGTTTTATGGGTGATTTTTTTTTTTTTCACATCCAGCATGCCACCATTGGTTACTTAAAGTACGTTCAGTGCTAAAAGAAGGGTCACTTTAGAGGAATAATGCCTTGATTAGCTTTCTACTTAATACCAAGCAAAGTTCTTTTTTCAGGTTAAAGACTTCCTTCCTGTTTAGAGTTGATAAGTGAACAATATGCAAAGGGAGTTATTGCTACAAAATTGTTCTTCAGGTAAATTCCTGACACCTTCACAGCTTCCAGAGCTCAAGAAATATACGCTGGACACCAAAAATATTACCAAAATAAGTATTACAAGTCTTGGGAGGTACAGATGAACCCATCTGGAGTCTAAAGAGTTTTAGAGGCTGCAGATATTAAAGCAGAAGACTTGCCTTTAACAGAAATAACTATTGGAAATACAAGATAAAGGTTGCAGAAGTGAAAGACTAAAAAGTTTAAATGATAGCATTACAAAGCAAATTTCAGAGATTATTAGGTATCACAAGATACCTTGACACTCTACCGCTTGGTGTGGGGCATAGGACAAGGAGGATGAGCACAGCCCTGAATGAAGCTATCCCCGGAGTTGCTAAGAAGGCTGCTCTCTCTGTTTTCAGAACACATTTTCTCAACTCCAAGCCCTCTTCAGAGTCCAGGAAAAAATTATCAAAGATGATTTAAAAATCCTGCAACTGCTCCAGCATGAAATGACTATGCAATGAGGAGCTTCAAATCTGCTAAAGCAGAATTACAGAATATTATTATTAGTATTTAATAAGAGGGATAGCCCTCGAATTTCTCTCAGACACCGAGCCGAGCTCAGGGAAGTGGAAAAACATGTCTAAGCATGATGATTATGGAGAACTCCCTTTGAGGGGAGAAAAAAATATAACCCCAGCAGAGAACATCCTTCAAAAGCATCAGGCCTCTCAGTAAAAGAATCCCCTGTGTCTCTTCCTTACACACACACCACATACACACACACACACACACACACACACACACTCTCAGGACAAAATTCTTGCAAAACTGGACACAGCTGAAGAACCACAAGAGCCAGGCAGAAATTTCAGTTGTGGTTAGCGTGAACGACAGGGCTCATTTTGCATGCAGTGAGGTACAGCGGCGAGGCTGAATGGATGGAAAATCCCACTCTGGAATCTCACCTAAATCTCTCTTTCCCACATACAGTTTTCCAGTTGAAAAGCTCCCATAATGAAGCCAGAGGTGACAGTCCAGGGAGGGTGCTTAACCAAGGAGCTGGCCGTCTGGAATGCTGGCCAGAGGACCGGTGCTTGCAAACGGCCCCAACCCAACCACAGCCCCTTCTGTCTGCTTCGCGTAGGTGCCGGATGCGAGAGGGCAGCGCTCCCGCGCCCCTGCACCCGCATCCCCACGCGCCCCAACATCCGGCCGCGCGCACCGTGGAGCCGGAGGAAAAGCCGGCGGCCGGCGGCTCCGCGGGGCTGATCTGATTAGCAGCTTGGGCGCTCCGAGGGGTTGTCGGATCGCGCCTCTCACAGAGGAAACTCTTGTGGAATCTTCAGGAACGGGTGGTAAAGTTGAAAGGACCTTTTTAATCCCTCCCGCTTGCCGGGTTATGAGCTCGATCCTTGCCTTGGAGCCGAAGTGAGCAGCTGCCAGCCTGCTTTGCCATTACGTACTAATGTGCGTTTGCACCGTTAAACAATTAATGTGGTTTGATTTCTTACATTTAGCAACCCAAGCCAACAGCTGCCAGCTCCGCGCTCGCGGAGGCAAGAGGCGAGCTTCTGACCTGCCGCCGGCCGCGTGCCCGCGGGGAAGGGTCCAGGGAAAGGAAACTTTACGGCTTCCCACACCTGGGGTGGGTGGGGGGGGGCGGGAGGCTTTGGTTCTGGGGAGGGAAAAGGAGGGGGACAGTGTGGATACCTGTTGGCGTCAGCACGGGCGGCGGCGGGTTTGCAGGGTCTCCAGCCCCGGCTGCAGCCTGGGGGAACGCGAGCAGGTCCCTCACGAACCTGTTACGCGCCCGCAGAAGCCAGGTGAGAGCCACCTCCCCCGGCTCTGCGAGGGGCGCGGTCGTCTCCCCCATAAACACCCTCCACACACACACACTGGGGTACGTGGAAGGGGAGAAGCGAGGTGACAGCTCAGCGCCGGGTTCTGCCGGTGCAGAAAGAGGGGGTACCGAGGAGTCCCCGGCTCGGGGGGCCTCCGGGAGCAGTCTCGCGGGTTCGGAGTGAACCCCACCTGGGGGGTCCGGCCTGGGTGCCGGGCTGCGTCTCGGAGACCGCAGAGCCGCGAGGCAGCCGGGGAGCCCCAAGTTTGCAGCGGGCGCCGCGCCTCCCAGGCTGGAGCAGCCACTTGTGGGAAAGCCTTGCGCTGGGGCTCCCGCTGCCAAGTCGTGGCCGCAGCCCCGCCGCGGGGGTCGCCCTCTCTCTCCTCGGGGGGGGGGGGAGAGGCAGCAAACCCGCAATCGGGCACCCCGACCCTTTCGCCTCCTGCCCCTCGGGCTCGAAGCCTCCTCGCCGCCCGCAGCGGGCGCTTCCCATTCACCGCACGGACCCCGCAGTGGAGGCGCGCGGCTGCAGCGGCGCCTGCCTGCAGCGGGAGGCGGCGAGCTCGCCCGGCGGCTGCAAGGAGGGAGACCGGGAGGAAAACTGGAGGGGCGCAGGCTGCCCGCGACTCCCTGGATGCACGGTCAGGGCAGTTTGCAAAAACCCTGAGGTGCCCCCCGGCAGCCGTGGCTTCACGGAGAGCAGCCGCAGCTCAGTCTAGCGCCGGACTGGGCACCTGCAGCCACCATGAGAGGTGAAGGAGGCGCGCCAGGTGTCTGAACGAGCAGGGGGGTCCCTCCAAGAAACGGGATCTTCGGGGCAGGGGACACACGGGGGTCGGGGGTCCACTTACTCTCGTGGGGCTCCGCGGGGACGAATTTCCAGCTGCCTAGCTCACAAATGGCTGGAGGGGCTCGGGGTCGGCTCCCGAGGGCGGCGAGCACCGACCGGTCCCCGCGCGCTGGGCAGGCGCCTCCGGATTCCGTTCATGCCTCTCGGAGCTGCGGGGCTCGGCGCGGAGACGCGGGGCGGGCGCGCTGGGCTCGGGGTGTCCGCGGCCCAAAGTGCAGCGGGCGGGTGGGCGCTCCGGTCCGTGCGCAAAGCGGCCACCGCGGACGAGCTGCGAGGAGGCAGGGAGATTCCAAATAAATCCACTAATTCCGGGCTGAGCGCTCCGGCGTGCGAGCCCGCCTGCCTGCCAAATGTAACTGTGAAGTGATGTGGAAAAGTGAGCCGGGTGCCTCCCCTGACGGATCTCATTGGGCAGAGCGCAGAGGCAGGTCTGCCACTTGGAAATTCATGCAAGCCGGCCCCCACCCACCCCCTCCCCGCCTGCCCCGGCGCTCCCGCGCGCTGGCTGGCTCGCTCGCTCTCCCCCTACCAAGTGGGCGCACAACTTTTCGCTCCTCGCGCCCGAGCACGCCCCGCGCGCCTCCGCCGCCAGGGCCGCGGCGTGGAGATGCGCCCTTCGGGGCGGCGCGCGCGGGCCGCGGAGGCCGCGCTCCCGGGCCGAGGCTGGCGCTCGCCCAGAGGCTGCCGAGGACGCACCGCCAGCTCGGTCGCGCCGGTCCTCCCCGCGCCCTGGGGCGCGTCTTCGCTGGAGAAGCCTCCCGGGGACCCACCGCGGGATTCTGGGCTTGGAAGAAGACCCGGCCGGGCCGAGCGGTGCGCGTGGGCAGCTTCCCTCCCTGAGCCCCGGGCGGACCGAGTGGGGGTGTGTGTGAGAACCCCCACCCTACTCCTCGGGCGCTCGGGGGTACGGGCGGTGTGTCGTGGTGCTGTGGGTGGGGCGCCTGCCGGACGTCCCCGACTTGTACTCCTTTGGGGAGATGGGGTGAAGCAAAACTGAGGGGCTGCCACGAGGGGCGCGCAGGAAGTCGGTGCGGGAAGAAAAGCCGAACTTGCTTGGGAAATAAGTGCAGGAGTTGGAGAGGCTTAGCTCGCCGCGCTGGCTTCCAGACAGATCCCTTTTGGACACCGGGCTGGCGGCTCCTCGGACCCCACCAAGGGGTGCTCCGTCGGTCGCCCCGTCTAGGCCTCTGATAGACACCCCCTACACCCCTAGACCTTGAGAATGGCCAGTTCTGAGCCGAGCCACGGCCAGGTGGAATCGTGAATTAGAAGGTCCAGTTTTCTTCTCGACCTTTGTGCTGCGAGCCTCACTGGTGACACACGCCGCCCTTGTGACCATCTTTTAGTAAAAATGGGGGGAAATGAGACGAACTAATCGTGACTTTTTGTTGAATTCCCCTCCACAGGACGCCCGACTTAGTCCATTCCTGTGCACTAGGAGTGAGCTCTGAGGGCGCACCACCCGGAGACGAGGCTGAAGCCGCAGGGGAGAGGGTGCAGAGGACCAGACTCAAGGTCTGTAGAGCTTGTACTGCCTGACTCACATTAATGAGACAGAGTGAACAAAATAAGAAAGTAAGCACAATATGCTCATAATGCAGATTTGACTGTGTGTGTGCGTGCACGCGCGCTCTCGCGCTGCATCTAACTTCCCTTCGTGGCATGTTGAAAAGAATATTGACAATGGGTCTAATTATCTCCTTCACATTCTAGCTGTCAAGGCAAGAGACTTTGTAAATTATTTCATAGGCAGATGAAGAGGGTCTTGAGGTCCTCGCATACCCCTCCTCTGGGTCACTAAGTAACTGTTCTCAGACTGTCTGCTTTCTGAGTAATTCTGTTCTGGAAAAAGGAACAGCAGTCAGACCTCAATCAAATTATAACTGCTGGACCAGGCAGTCCCAAGTGGACAGTGAAATACATCACATCTTGGTCTATGCTTAATTTTCAAGCGTTCATTTCCACTTTGAACAAATGGTCTGAACCTTTCACTGGGTACCTTCTTACACCTCCGAGAACTCAAGAAAAGGTCAAGTGTTCCTGAAGGCTGGGAACTGTCACAAATAGCAAACTCATCTCAAAAGAAAGCCAGAATGGTAGCGATAGACCATATCCTCAGATCTCATTTTCTTAAAGAAAAATAACATTTGAGAAAGTGAAGAGTCAGAATCCAGTGACTTGAGGTGCCTGGCGTTAGACTGAATGTGTTTTGACTCACCTTGTCTGCATTTACTCTAGGAGCAGTTACACACTTTGTCTTCATTGAATTTTGACTAACTAGAATTCAAGGTAGCTCTCCACACCTGCTAATCTCAGCTCAAAGCGCTGCCATAGGAATTTCCTACTAATTTCCTCCTAATTCTTAGGAGAGGTCTGGATGATTAAGCAGTGTGAAAGAGGATTAGGATAATGTTTAAAAGCCCTATAAGGATATTTCTAAAATAATCAGGGATGCTGAAAGACAAGGCATTTGCCTCTTTTAACAATTCCACCCACTCTTAATAGGATGCAGTGTAATGTCACAGTGGTGAGAACCTAACTCCTTAAGAAAGTGTTTTCAACATCCTCTCCCGGCTTACAGCCTTCCAGCAGGAAGAGGACTGTGCTATATAGGCTTTTTAGAATGGTGATTGAAATTGCCTGTGTTGTGGAGCATCGTGGAGGAGGAAGGGCAAGGAAATATCTGATAGGGCAGGAGTATAATCAGAGAAGAAGAGGGGAGGGTTGCATTCACAATAACCTTGGCTAGCTGGCTAAAGCAAAGTGTCTCCAGCCAGGGTTTAGGTGACAGGCAGTTTTGCAAAGGAGTCTACTGCAGTGGAATGAGATGGGAGACTCTCTGTAGTAAGAGATACCTTTCTTTTTCACTACGGATGGAACTTTTGTTATAATATCGACTAAGGAAGACAGTAACCCAAGTGACTGGGTAGTTGGAGAATGAGGAATCCTGGTTTCCACGAAGCAGAGTCTTGCAAAGGAGGTGGGAGAGCTAGAAAAACTCCAACTTCTATAGTGGGAGCAGGAGATGGCAGAAAGGAATTTATGATTTGTTGCATTAAAATGCAACCTTATTTTCATCTCCTAAGCCTAATCAAAACCCAAAATAAATTTTCTAAAAAAACCCAAACCACTCAAAACAAACAAACATGTGTATACCATGTTATGATTAGCAAGAACTCTCAGGTTTATTGGATTGCTGCTAAATTTAGATTGATTAGTTCATGGACTATCCTAAAGATAGGGTTGAGGAGCATGAATCCCACAAATGAAGGGATTCCACAGTGTGACACCTGCTAGGGATATTTTAAAATTTTAAATAAAAACTTTGAAATTTGAAGGGATTCAAAAGATAAATGTTACACCAGTTCATATATACCGTTTTCCAGGTATACCGTGTCCTTCCTTCACATTTGCTGTTAGGGTATCCTGATGAGGAAATCTGAAAACCAAAATGTCTTGGGAGGTGGGTGTCAGTTATAGAACAACTTTGACATTGGGCAGAAGAAACTTTGATTTTTTTTTTTTAATTCTAATGTTGGAACAGAAAGCCTAAGACTGAACATTAAGAAAGCACTTTGATGAAGTTTGTCAATGTTGAAATACATTTGGTAGTTGTTGTTTTTTTTTTAACAGTTTGCTTTAAGCTAGCCTCTTTGCTAAAATCATGAAAGGTTGTAATAGTTTTCAAGTTATGTGAATGTGAGCAGCTAGTGTTGCCCTAACTGAGCATTTTATCCCAGATCCTCCCTGTCCTAGGGGAAACCTATTAGAAATGCAAATTCACATGCTTTGAATTAGGGTGGGGCTCTGGAACCTGAATCTTTAACAAAGGCTCCAGGGAACTTCATTGATTGCCAGAGTTTGAGAATCACTGCTTTAGGCAATTCTTAGGTGATATGTATAAAGATGAGGAGAATTTTTTTAAAAGTGAGGTATTGATACTTTTTTATCCTGGAACATCCTAAGACAGAATCCTATCTTAACAAAATTTAGAAAAAAGTGAATTCATATTAAATATATCATATGGTTACTTTGCTAATGTTTATTATGGGATTTTAAAAGCAAAACAATTCTTTAGACGTGATTATGAATTCTTGGGGTAAAATTATCAGTGAGTTTGCTATTCAGCATTGTGATGCTCTGTATTTCTTGGCTGCTGGCTTAGCTGTCCTGAAATTAGGCCTGTATCTCTTAATATTGACTGTAATTACTAATCTTGAGCTTGCCATTATATTTTCAGTAAATGGAGGTGTAAACACTCTGAAAACCTCATCTGTGCTTAGAACATTTTGGAGAAGGTTTTCAGAATGGCATTATCTTCCATCTTCCCAGGTGCTAAAAAAGAGATAAGCTCCAATTCAGCTTCAATACAGAAACTGAGGGAGGGCAAGAGATAGATTTAAGGGGATTGGTACAAAGCTATCAAATAAGCCAGATCTGGTTTTGTGGACTATGCACTTAGAATTTTCATTTGTTTTTGTTGTCACCTTTTTTTCTGAAAGAGAATGGTAACCAGATCAAGATCCAGGACCCCTCTTGTTAGACAAGGGAGCCATCAGGGAAAACTAAAAATAGCTCCCGTTGTGTTGAAAAAGAGAAGCAGGGAATCCTTTCCTTCTGCCCCCACTGAAGCGCTACTAATTTGGTATATCAGATTGTCTTCAATATTAAAACATAATTAAATAGAATTGACCTTAACTCTTAAAATGTTCCCATTATCAGGAATTTTCATGCTTATGCCAGTGTATCATTGAATATAGATAGAGGAATACAGATGTGCAGGGATAAAAAAGGGCAGCATTTTTTATTATACCTAAAATGGAATTTCTACTTCTTAGTTGTTATCCAGTTGGTTATTAGAGAAAAGAAGTCTAGCTATTCATTCGACAAATGCACTAAGAAGTTGAAAGGAAACTGCATTACTGAGACAGTGAACAGAATTTCTTTATTAGTCAAAGCAGCATAATGCTGTGAACAAATAGTTTTGTTTGTTCGTTTATTAAAGCTGCTGCTGTTTGGAAAATGGGGCACTGCATTTAGGTTGCCGGCTCCTGTCTGCATAAGCAACTGGTCCTGTTAGAGTGTATGTGGAGGCTTTTTTTCCTTCTACCTCAAGTGCCCTCTAGCGTGCAATATCTGAGCAGGTTGCTATATAGAAGGCGGTAGAAAGGAGAAAGACAAAAAGAAATATTCTACCAATTGCTATCCTAATTCCTGAATTGCTCTGCTTTTCCTTCTTCCTCAAAGGGGTCATTTCCGCCTAAGTGTTTGGCAAAACAAAAAAAGGTGCTGTTGTTTTTGCATGAAAAACAAATCAATCCTTGACTAAACTGGGAAACGAATGCTAATCCTTTCTCAAGGGTTTCTATTAAACATTCATCATAATTTTCTAGAACTTTCATACACTCTAGTAATCAGGCATATAAAAGAAGGTAAGTTGCTCCCTAGGAAGAAATTCTGTTTTGTTCCTTACTCACTGCAGACCAGCTATATGACATCTGATGCAAATTGATTAACCTCTCCATGGGTTTTAAGTTTTTGTCTCCATAAAAGTGCATAATTCTTCTTTCTTGCCTCAGGGGGGTGGTATGAGGCCTAATTGAGGTTTATAAAACAATTTGAGTTCCTCAGATACAATTTGATATACAGTTGAATCTGGCTTTCATCTTCCATCTACTAACAGCGTTTTGAATTCTCTTTGGTAGTCCAGAGGGAAACTGTGATCAGGATCCATTTTTTTTCATAAACATGTCATTAGAACAACTCTATTGTAAATAGTGGATTTGCTCAACAGACTTGGAATGGTGGGAAACAGGAAAGAATATTTGGAGAAGAAAAATGTATCTGGTTTTGCAAATAAATATAACAAAATAGGCAAAATTCCTACAAGACATATATTTGGGCACATCTCCCTAAATTTTAAAACAAGCTAACAATAACAGAAGGTAAATTTGACTCACCCAAACACCACCCACTAAACACTTAGTCTCTGAGAGAGAAGCAGATACCTGTAAATAAACTTGTGCATTGGCATCCATTCAGATGGTTGGTTACTAAACACTCAGATTTTTTTTTTAATAGCAATGTGATTATTTTGTAGCATTGAGTTGAACTAATACAAGTTTCCCCACTATCTGAAAGTAGAATGTTCCTGCTTGTAGTCAAAATGGTGTAAAAATGAAGACAAAATTACCATGAATTTATATGGGAAAATTTGAGTGTTTCTCTCACTGCTTGTGGTACACACTTCCTCGATAAAGGATGCTGCAAAAGTGGACTTTCAAGGGAGACCTAAAAGTGAAAATCCTCTTCTGATTTCTTTTGGTCACGAAAACAAGTGCCAATGTATTGATAGATCTTTCATAAAGGTGAAGTGTCTTAAAATCAACTTTTGAGACGCGTCAGATACCTCCACCCTAATGGCTATAATACTTTAAGGGGTAAAGAAAGAGGGAAGCAAGGTAAAATTATATAATATTCCATGAGATTCTTTACATTCAATTTCTCCTTAAGTGTTAAGGCAGGATGTCTGGAAAGGGTATGATTAGTATCCTTTAAAATGATAAATTGAGATCTGGTAAAGTGACTTGCTCAAGGTCACTCACTTAATAAGGTAAAGAGTGCAATATATAAACCCAGGTTTTACAATACAAAAATAGTCTAATACTACCTCTCAAGATTAAAATACTAATTAGTAATTCATAATACAATTTTAAACAAATTTTCAGTCATCTGCCTGTTCTGCTCCCTGCTCTGTCTCTGGTGAATTCTCTTGCCCTCCCGCTCCTCTTGCCTGTACCCCAGTTTTTGTATGAATAAATAAATCTTTAATAAAAATTGCTACATACAAAATAAATTAAGCTTTATATTGTTTCCCTCCCCACATCAGAATTTTTCATTGCATGTAGTTTTGTAAATATAAATCCTAGATTCCATGGTTAGCCAACTAAAGCAAGCTCTCAAAATACATGATTTGTAAAAAAAAAAAAAGGTGCTTTAGATGCAACAAATTTTATTCAGCTGAGAAGAATGATCCCCATGGCAAGCAAAGTTGTTACCTTGGCACTGGAGCCCAGGTGAAGGTATTCTTCTGCTATTACTATTTAGATTTGTTTACCCCTTGATGTTTTCCCAAGCACATTAACTGACTTACTTCATCCTTGCAATAGTGTGAGGTGAGACGGTAAATTGTTTCCTCCATCTTACAACCTTACAGGCTTTTAGAACCAATAGGAAGGACCCTTAGGGAATCCTCTGGTTCAACCGCTTCATTTTATAGGAAAAGAATTGGGTAAAGCTTTTAACTTCTGAGCCTAAGGTTACATAACTTGATAAAACCAAGACCAGATCCTAGGTCATTGGTGTTTAAAAGATATGGCAGGGTGTCACATATGGCCCAGAAGGGAAAAAAAAAATCATTTAACTAATAACCTGAATATTCAAGATAGGGAGTTAGAGATTGGTGAAGAAAAATAAATCAAATGTAGTGTAGGAACTCAGATCCAAATTAATGATGTCTGGAAAAAGACCACTTTCATTTTCTGGTGAGAGTACATTTACTCCCTTCCCCTAGTATCTGCTCAGTCTAGTAATATGTCTTGTCTGGTTGAATTATTTCAGCACCCTGGAGTTTGGCTCACTAATGCAGTCCCAGAGGTTCCTTCGAAGCAGATCTTGTGTGCTGCAGATATTTGGAGGGAGGATTATTGGAGAATCAGAAGAAGACGACAATGTGAGTAAATAATAATTGTGCTCTCATTTGTTCAGATGTACCCTGAGACTTTCTATGCTCTCTGTCTTCTGGTAGGAACCCCAAGCAGAAACAACTTATTTCAAATGGAGATGTGGGGAGCTGACTCATGCATTCTCCAAAAGCAGAGAAAAGCACACACATGTGACTTGCCGGAATGACACAATGAATTTATCCTCATTCTTTTTTATATCTTTATGTTCTCTTTCTCCCACATCATCTTGTCTTAGCAAGAAACACCTTATTTTTCACTGGGTTCTACCTCCCCTACCCCCCCCACCCCATTATTATACCAGGTATACAATCACTTTTCTGGACTAGAAAGTGCTAGTAAGTGGTATTAACTGTAATAGTTGGTATTCGTACTATTGAGTATTTAATGTCTTGCTAGGCATTACAGGGATTGACATATATTTTTATATATATAATTTACTTTCTTAAAAAACTTGAGTTTTTTAGATGAAGACACTGTGAAGGGAACATTTTTTACTTCTCTAAATCCCACTTAAGCTTCTGTTCCTCTCTCCAGTCTCACTTCATAGCACAATTTATTTTGTCCTAAACGCACCAGTCAAACTGTATCAGGCCCGTGGGCCCTAGGCCTCCTTTTAGTTCTTGTCTTGGGAAAGAATTTAACATTGAAAGCAGAGTTATGCAGCAAAGCAAGAGACTTTTTGATAGATATGAGAAAGGGCCAGAAAGCTCTCTGGGCAGAGAGGAGTCCTGAATGAGTCACTGCTGCAGGGCTAAAAAGCAGGAGTTTATATAGGTTTAGTGGGCAAGGAGTAGAGGGTTTCGACACTTAGGTGTCTCTACGTGTGTCTCTGGTGATTAACTGGAGCTCATGGGGTTTCCCTGGTTACTGAGGCCCACTGAGTTTCCCAAGTTACCTGGTCTGGTTTTCCAGAACCAGCTTTAGCTCATTGTTTCAGCATTGTGGTGTTGTGTTGATGTTCTGATAATTCGATTTTTAATTGGGTTGGGGGGCACCCTGAATGCAACCAATTGCTTCTTACTCAGCTTGATAAAAGGACAGATTGACTTGGGGATTTGGGGAGCCCTGTTTCTAACAGTCTGCCTGTACTCATTTCAGCTCTTTGAAAATGTTAACTCTCTTTGGAGTTTAAGAGGCATGAGACCTCCAAGAAAGAGAAGGGCATTTGCAATCCTATAGATCTGGTTTCTGATCCTAGTTAGCTAGTTGGCTAACCAGTTTTTTAACCTCTGAGTCTCATTTGCCTTTGTATATAAAATAGTGTCTGCCTTATGGAATTTTTAACTCACAGGGTTGTACTCTTGGTGCAATTGTTACCAGGCAGGATGAGGGATACCTAGGAACCCCCAAACCCGGCCAGCTCTGTATAGGTTCTGCCATCTGCCTCATCAAGACAAAACATACTCTGGTACATGAGACCTTCAGTGGAAAGAAATTTAGCACAATAAGTTAGTGTTATACGGCCCAAAGGAAATGTGGACACCGGGGCTAACAAGAAGCAGGTTTAATGCACCACTGCTGACTGAGCAATTCATATTCCAAGGCTGAGCCCCATCTGTGGGAAGTCAGGGGCTTATATACACTTTCAGTTTCTTTTTTTCTTTGTTTTTTTTTAGATTTATTTATTTATTTATACGAGCACTGGTACAGTCAGAAGCGCGGGAGGGTGAGAGAATTCACCAGAGTCAGAGCGGGGAACAGAATAGACAGACTGATGAAATACACTGCTGAGGGGAGCAGTGGGTGGCAGGAGAGGTCTGCGCGCCATGTGGGACCCTCACCCAGTGGCTGGGGATTGAACGGGCACTGCAGAGGCTGCGAGCAGCTTCGCAAACAAGCGTTCAACCGCTGTGCCACCAGGGAGGCCCTACACTTCGTTTCTACAAGGTTCCAGGTGGGTTTGCATTGGCAGCTGTACATGGTCAGATAGGACGTGGCTACATACCAAAAGGTGAGTCGTATGGTTGCATACCGAGGAGTGAGTAAAGGGTCAGTAGTCATGGGACCCACCCCTCAGGTCCATCCTGCCTCATGGCGGTATATGGTCCAAGATTCCTTTCAGGGACTGAGTTGCATACCAGAAACTGTGCAAAAGATTTTTACTGAGGTCCCCAGGCTGCTTATCCCAGGTCACCAGGCTTCATTAGTACTAAGGTCTTAGAACATAAGACCTTCAATGGAAAGAAACTTTAGTACAATTAGTGTATGATAGAAAGACGTTCCACATGAAACACCCAAAGTTATCCATCCCTTCATGGGTGCATGCCCAGCCAAATACGGTTGGCCCAAAGTGGAACTACTGAGTACCAAAAGCCTGCCACAAGTCAAAGACACCTTCTAGTGGGGACCCACAGGAAAGGGGCAGAAGGGGCCAAGGAGTCTGAAGGAAAAGAGAAAAATCAAAACACAAGTCAAGGTAAAGGCTGCCATTGTCAATCTCCTCATGGTCTCCCACCCACATCTCTCTCTTTTAAGTGCCTCCTCCCATGTCCCCCAAGTCCCTGGGACATGTCCAAGGTTGAGAAGCAAATGCAGCTTCTTTCCATGTCTCTTTGCTCCATGTGCCTCCTCTAGTCTTCCTTCTCCATCTCTCAGCTTCTCCTCAGCCAGGTTTTATCTCTCATCTTTCTAGACTCTCCTCACTGCTCAGCTCCAGCTTCCTTAGGGTGGGGCAGGGAACCTGGGGATTCCCTTTCCCCCGGGATTACTCTGCACCACAATGAAAGAAAAAATAACTACTTTTCAGTATACATGTCTGTTTTAGGCAAGTCCACCCATACCTACCTTAAAAGAGCAGATGACCAGGAAAGAGATCCTTCCAGGGAGACCCCTGTCCTATCATTTTATTCCCTCAGTAGATTGATCCTGAGCTTCTCAAAAGCAGAGGCTGTATTGTCTCTGTGTATCCCCCAACTAGCCCAAAACTTGGTGTATAATCAATGTTCAAGAATTGTCTTATTTATGATAATGAACAAGTGAATATGAGTACAAAGATAACTATGGTATTATTGTCAACAGTTAGCTAGAAATAGACCCAGATTTGGAGTTAGAAAAATCAGATGGCCCAGCAGATTGGTATGGGGAGCTCAGCGTAGATAACAGATTTACTGGAAAAGAGAGAGGGAGAAAAGAGGATACAAAACAAAGCAAAAAGAAACAAAACCAGGAAACCGAAGCTTCTAGAGCAGAAATAGAACAGTGAGGATAACAGACTAAAAGGCTGAAAGACTGAAAAAAATTTAAAAATTCTTCCAACTGACACAATTAAGAGTGAACATTCAGAAACTATTCAGATCCCAAATGGCGATTTGCATAACAGTAGTAGTAATACAATTATAATGACACCAAGTGTTAAGAATTCCTCTGTTCCTCAGTGCCTCATAATTTAGTACCTGGGTGTTTATAAAACAATTTCTCATTCAGGAAGTAAGTGATTCCTCCCATTAGCCCTTAGTCTCACACAGGTCTCCTCCCAAAGATAGAGCTTTAAAATAGATTTCCAGAGTGTTTTCTTCCTCCAGGACCAGGAGTTTTCCTTGAAAGAGAGAAGTACTTGGTTCATTTATCTTTGAATCCTCAGTAGCACAGAAGAGATACTAGATAAATTTTTGTTGATTTATCATCTCAGATCTTTCCCACAGCAAACTGCAAGATAAATAGATCCTGTCCAGTACCCCCATTTTTTCAGATGACGAAACTAGAAATATCTAGTCAGAGTCGAAACTGGGAAACCTGTCTGAGATATTTGAACACATTGGCTTTTCCTGCTGTGGCATACTACAGTCTAGAAAGATTGCATTGTTGAGGTGACATTTCTTATTAAATACTTCTCTGTTAAGAATGCCAAGAGGGGCCTCCCTTGTGGCTCAAGGGGTTGAGCGCAGTGCTGTGAAGCTATCCCCAGCCTCCACAGTGCAAGTTCGATCCCAGACCAGGGAGCTACCCACAAGGCACATTAGACCTCTCATGACTTGCCGGCTGCTCCCCTCAGCAGTGTACTTTGATCTGTCTGTCTGTTCTGTTCCCCACTCTGTCTCTGGTGAGTCCTCTCACCTCCCACACCTCTGGCCTGTATCCTAGTTCTTGTATAAATAAATAAATCTTTAAAAAAAAATTTAAAAAATGCTAAGAAAGCATGTTTCTCTAGAATTTGTATAGAGGGCCAAAGAAATCTCATATCAATAATATCACTTCTCGTGATTGCAGGAATCCAGGGCAAAGTTTAACACTTTGAGTCAGTCTTGAATACCTAAAGTACCCATTCAAATTTTGAAGTGGGGCCTCCCTGGTGGTGCAAGGGCTTAAGACTCAACCTGTGAAGCTATCCGCAGCCACTGCAGCATGATTTCAATCCCTGGACAGGGGGCTACCCACATGGCACAGCAGACCCCTCCTGTCTCACCCTGCTGCTCCCCTCAGCAATGTGTTTCAGTACATCTGCCTGTTCTCCCCACTCTGTTTCTGGTGAGTCCTTTCATCCCCCACATCTCTGGCCTACACCCCAGTTCTTGCATGCATAAATAAATAAATTTTTTAAAAAACAAATTTTGAAATGATAGAAAACAGGAAAAACATTTTGCATGTGGGTATAAAAATCCATGTGTATTCTAAAGGAATTGGAATCCATACATTTCTGATTAATTTACACTTAAATCAATGAAATGTTTTTGAAAAGATATTTGATGTTCAAGAGACCGAACCTAATGGGACTTCAGAGTTGTTTTTGTCTTATAAGGACTTATTTTTTTCTCCATGATCTTACATTCAAATGATATGATTTCAGTTTGAATTATTAATACAATCTTATGCCCTCCAAATGTTCCAGAGCAGAAGTAGGGGTACAGTGGGATCCCCAAACTTGCCTCCTCTAAATAGTATCTCCCATCTGCCATATCAAGACAAAACATACTCAAGTGCATAAGACCGTCAATAGAAAATAACACTAATAAAATTAGTTTGCAATAAAGAGACAAGAAAGGGAAAGAAT